ACGACAACAAAATGCATCAGCATCTACATCATCAACGCATCAACGCGTCAACGAAGTAGATGAATTATATACTAATTAACGCGAGAGAAGACGGGCTTTCAAATGAGCCCAAAAACACAGAAAAGGTCGACACACAAAAAGCTACAAACATTTTCTTAGAACTTTTTCCTGAACCTATTAAGAAAAAGGAAACAAAATTCGGTTTAAGTGCAATAAAATATTATATGATTGAGCTAATGAATGGTTCCAAAAGAGCGATTCCTAATGAGGAAGTAATGGCATACTTTCTTACCTGGGCATAATGTGCTGCGAGGTGATCGAAAATGGAGGCATTGAAAACGTCTTGTCGACGCGATACCCTGATACGCTGCATTGGTAACGCATCGTCGCTCCTGTCGGTATTACGATCTGCAACGATTTGAAAATACCGTATAATTGTGCATTATTCAAATACAAACAGAACCTACTCCGTATTGTCTCCAAATGCTCTCGTTCGTGATTCAATTTTTGCTTTCTCTGAAAAAGAAACAAATCTTCTCTTGCAGTATTGCCTCATTAGAAAGTCCACTGAGTGAGATAACACGAAGATACTACTGTCTAGATTCGGGAAGAAAGATAAGATTCCGGTGTTGATAAACCCTAAAGGATGCGCCATACTTTCGTATTCACTTTTTAACGTCATTAGAGTTGACTGAAGTATATCTGGCTTCTACAGTGATTCACGGTGATCTATCGAGGTATTGAGTGAGCGCAGTCATATCCTCTTAGACAAGTATGGTACCAATTTACCGAGTGCGGATGTGGCAGGTTTGGTAAGACCTGGGGGTGGAATCGAACCACTAACCATCTGCCAATCAACAACGAATGTCACAGAGCACCTATACCCACTGCGCCCGACATGCGCGTTAGAAAGAAGTAATACGGCATAAATTACAGACTTTTAATCGATAAGACACGATATGTAAGGCAGTCAACAACTGCATCAACGCTTAATTTCCGTGTTTTTGTTTGGATAGACAACCAATAAACGAGTATTAGCCCGTGATGCTGGAAGAGGGAGCCTCACCAAAGGAATTAGGGCCGCCAAAGAATGATGTCATTGGGACAACTCTTGTTTGGGGGAGAAGGCATCAGCCTTCGTAGACAAAATGCTCCTGGAGAAATTGTTCGGTCGTGGATTTCGTGAAAGTGTGTCATTTGAATGGTGAAAAAAGGGAAAATCAGAGAACCCGTCAAAGTAAATAGATAAGAGGATCACCAATCAAGAAGTTAATTGATAGAAACAATATCTATAATTCCGTTTCCAGTTTTTGAGAATTCTATCTCCAATCTGTTTTCAACCTCTTGGAGACAACGTCTTTCCCGTTTTTCCCAAATCTTTTAGCAGCCGTTCGATAGCTTCAATCTCGGAAATTCGAATACTTGCCTGCTTTCTAAAATGATCCTAGTGCGGTTTAACAGCATAAGACGATAATGAGATGCACAGTCGGCCCTCAGCCTATGTTTCTACCGAACTGGTGAACGGCCGTGGAAATTTAGCAACATTTGCAACACATCGCTCTTTGATAAGTAGAGTTAGCGGATGGTCTCTGAACAAAATTATATTAGTTACTTAATAGTAGATTTAGGTGATTCTCGAGCTAAGTTTTGGCTTTCGAAACGGCATCATCTTATCGACTGTCTTTGAACCTCACTTTCAACAATCAATATAGTCGATGAGAATGTTTGAAGCGCTACCGAGTGTTACGTAAGGGCCTTAGATATGTTCCAGTGGTGTCATCCGCTTGAATGTTTATTGAGAACAATTTTATGCGCTATCACCATCGACAATGTCTCCCTATCGCTGCTATAAAGTGGGGTTCAGCATGGGCGTGGGCCACTGATGAAGCGGCCGACATCACCGAAACGTACATACGGCTCTGATGTAATGACCTCGTTAAGGCTTTAAACATTCGCACAGGGTTCACATAGCGTTGGAGGAGCGAGAAGAAGACTACTTTTAGCGTTGCTGGACTGAAGCTGCTTGCCCTTAGGCTTTTTAGAAAGTTTACTCGGTATTCAGCACACGTTCCCGGAAAGAGTGAGATCTGGGTCCGAATCCCGGCTGATGCAAGTGTTTTTGCACACCACACTATATTGCTGCGTTTATTGTAGCATCATAACACCGCAGTATGAGGTCAAATTATATGAGGTCTGAGAAAATAAAAGCCTAAGCTAATGAAACTGTAAAACAAAGTTTCTTTCAGAATTCTAGTACGGAAAACTAGGGGATTTTAGTGAACGGAGAAAAAACTATGAACAGTCAACGAAATACGCGACACAGCGCGCCAAGTGTGAAATTGAAACTTGTTTCTGCAGCTACAGCACATCAAGAGGGACTTCCATAAAAATTGGTACAGAAACAAAATCGCCAAAATTTACTCTAACGAATGACCATGAAAAGTCTGAACGATGCAGAAAAGACGATGTCCTTCGAAAGTTCAAATAATGGGAGATGACGAAAAAGTACCAAACAATAAAATTGCAGACAAACAACAAAATCATCAATCTAGTAATGGAATAATAAAGCCCTTAAGAGTTTCTCTAGCCTTTCAGAGGTTGTTAGGCCACATTTCGATGTGGCTTACGGACCGGCTCGGTGGTACGGCCACCATCAGAACCACCAGCCCCTATCATAGACAAAGGGTGATGGAGGATAATACGCTCCCGAGAAGAATTATGGCTGCCAGAATACCTACAGTGGACGTCTTGCGGCTGTGATAGAGGGAGGAAGAGTGGCTTAATGATGGCGATATGCCGAAACAGTCCGCAAGCCTTAATATGTGCACCGAAATCTGTGATACAGTGGCTAAAGGTGTCGCACTGCACAGAAGGTCGATGGTTTGGCCTCGCGCTCATGGTTCACCAAGACTTCCATCTCTACGGGTTAGCTAAAATGGTACCTAACTGGTCTCAAACTTGTCTGAGGGGATAGGCAGCACTGACTCGGCACATCAGTAGCCCACCGCAAGTCATTGTAAAAGCGAGATTTGCATTCAGTCACCTAAAACGCTGAAAAAAAAGAAGCGAATGTATGGCTTATGTCTCAAGGAGTGACCAACGCCAAGAGCTCTATCCTTTATATGTAGATCATGAACACTTTCCGTTTAGCTGACAACCGGTTGGTCACAGCTTTTGTCCGAGCAGTCGTAGTAATAGTACGCTGGTGGTTAACGTTTCGGCGACTCCGCCTTTTCCAGAGCTTCATTGTCATTTGTATTTGAATATTTGAATGAGCCGATGGATTGTCAATGTCTCTAGATACCACCTAAGTTAGGTCAGAACAAAAGCCATGGCTCCTTCTCCTAGATCATTCTTTTGACTGACCTAGGCGTCTAACAGCTCATCCGATTATAGAAAGACACTTTACGGCCATGCTCTGAGAAATGCGCAGTCGCCCAAACGCCAATCGTTGAACTACTATTACTACGATTGCTGCTACAACTATTACTAACTTCGCGTCAGCTAAACAAAATAAATCTTCAAGATTTACAGAATTCACTCTTACTGCTTATGGCACATCGTAAGAATTAATGATTCGTAAGATCTGGAGAAAACTAGAAACGATAACGTCGAGATCAAGAGCAAACCATCGATTCAAATTCACATTCCAATCACCATCTCATCTCATCATCATCTCATCCATCTCATCCATCTTATTCCAATTACCTTTTGTCTTATAGGAGTTAGCTGCCAAAAAATAATAGGAGCCCTAACCCGATTAGCAGCAATAATAACTGAGATCAGGGCACCAACAAAGAGATACTTTGAAGAGAGTCAACAATGAAAACAATCCAGATCGCGACAATCCTTACAAAACTCTCCGACGACGGTCCGATCTCACGAAACATGCCGCAGAACATCGATCATCTCAATAAAAGAGAAAACAGAAAAATTTGACTGATAAAAGAAGAGTTATGATGGCGTACAAATCTGAACCGAGAATAATCTCCCAAGCGCCCTCTTTCGTTGCTATAAGGGGACAACATAAAGCCCAAAAGGAACTAGAAAGGATAGAGTTGAGATCAAATGGGAACAATCAATGTGACTCAGATTATTATATCTCATTGCTGCCAGCTTTGCTTCATAGAAATTAGCTGCCAAAGGCAATAGGAGCTTCGATTCAATTAACAACACAATAACTTACTGCCTCCGGGGTCTTCGACAAAGCCGAAACCAACTGAAAACGAATCCCTCAAAACTCTCCAAACGGTGACTGCTCGGAAATCGCTTCAGACACGGTATGATCTCTGAAAATACGCGGACGAACGTTAAAATTATAAGACTTCATCAAAACATAACACTGCGAAAAAAGCAGTAGAAATACTATCACTTCGAAGTACTATATATATAACAGTGGCTGTCAGCTTAACGGGATTTATAAAGCGAAATCGCTTATCCGACCAAACCTGTTAAAGGTTGGTGGCTGATAGCTAACATGGAGATGTTGAAGAATGAGTGGTCGGGCAAATGTGCCTCATTGGTGTAGTGGTTGAAGCACGCGTCCCCGGATAGGATGAAACGCGGGTTCGATTCCCGCCTGAGGACGTGTTTCTGCTCACCACTCAATTCTCTTAGTTATATAAGTAACAGATAACACTGCGAAAAAAGCAGTAGAAATAATATCATTTCAAGTATTATAAGAGTTTTTTCTGACGAAAAGAAAAGAACAAAGAAATATCCAGAGGATAAAAGAAGAAATGTGATGGTGCACAATCTCGAATAGAAGAAATTTAGCAAACAATCAACCTGAATCGCTCCGGTTGACTCATCCCATTCGCTGCTCTCAGAACTATCTCGAGTACGACGTCCTACAAGATTGTCGATGACGTCATCAGTCTAAAATCTGTTTATTTTGACTGCCACTTGCAGTGGTATGATGTTATTGTATACCCAATACGTGGAGTGCTGTGGCAAAAACGTTTGCGTCAGCCGGGATTCGAACCCAGATCTCACTCTTTCCGTCGGTAGTCAATGGTCAGCGTATGCTCCCGGAAAGAGTGAGATCTGGGTTCGAATCCCGGCTGACGCAAACAGTTTTTGCACAGCACTCCACGTATTGGATGACGTGATCATTCATATAAATATGGGCGTGAACATCCAAATAATCTAATTTCCACGAGAAAAAAGGAAAAAAAAATGCCGAGATAGCCGAGTGATTGGGGACGAAGAGGAAGCGTAACAACCGCATAGTGAAAAGTCCCGCGTGCTAATCGTTCGTCGCTTAAAGGGACGATGCCGACAAATCATCACTGGAGCGCACTTACTTCCCACTGATCACTGACTATTGTGCTGACGTCTTAGGACAAACATACAGCAAAGATGGATGAAAAACCTAATATACGAACAAAAAGTGGAGTGGAAAGACCGAAATGTACTTGACTTCACGATGAATAATCTATGGTATCTTCCAGACCCAATTTTTTTCCCAAGCCCACGAGAAAATGGCTCTCTCCTTCCTCGAGTTCGACGGCTGACGTTTCGGCTACTTAGCCTTCCTCAGAGCCTAGACGGGCTTTCTCTTATTTATTTTGTTCTAGAAGAACCTTTGTCACATTTTGCTGTGGGGACCTCAGTATTTGGAGCATTGATTCGTCGGCCGAGAGCTTCATCCTTTATTCTTTTATCCAAACACCTAGAGAGCTTGTAGAGCTGTGACAATTCCAGTTGATAGATAGTTCAAATCCTGAGGTAGCAGCCCTAAACAAAAACGAAGTTTTCTGCTTCTTAGATTAATTACGAAAATTCAAGGACGATTAGGAACCAAGAGTGACTGACTGCCACGTGTGATGTGGTGGTGCTTCACTTTAGATGTTTTTCGCCCGAATAAGTCCTTAACTATAGTCTGTGAATAACGCAATGAGGACCTGTATCGATTCGGAAGGTCAGACAGAGAACTTTTTTTGAGAAGCAGTTTTATGAGATTTGTATTGAGATTTAAAAATCTAAAACCTAACTGAATAATAAATTATAGTATGTAGTGGGGACACCGTGGTCGAGTGGCTGTGATGGTTGTTGCGGCGTGTCTGGTAGGTGAACCTCACTCCTCAACACTCTCCATCAGGTAAATACGAACGCCCTGTAGTCCCACTCTCGAGAATGCAAAAAGATGCGCTCAACCAGTGTTCCACGACGTTCAAAAAGAAGACGAAAAATGAATGAATGTTAAGAGCACTGGGATCTGCACAGTGAAAAAGAAAACACTGTACAAACGGATGATAAAGTGTGTAAAGCGACTAAGTGCGGAATATTACCGATATGCCGTTGGGAAGGCCAATTCGTCAAGACATCACTCATCGTCTCGAACTTCTTGATTTCACGTGCATTCCGCCGGATGCATGCTTATTTCCTTGGAAATTTCTTCATGAAAAGCTTTTTCATCAGAACTTTCGAAATCATTCGATACACCTCAAAAACCGGAAATTTTAATGGTCTGCTTGGTATCCAGAAAGCTTACTTGGTGCGTCGCACATCAAAATGGTATGATGGATTTTTTGTGTGTTCTTCGTGAGAAGAGACATGCAAAGGATAAAGCTATCGGTGTTGATCAATCCCTGAAAGATGCTTTCCTTTGCCTTCAATTTTCAACTCCGTTGAAAGTGAGCGAAGGCATACCTGGTGCTTGGTGACTCGCGATGGCCTAACGCTGTGCCGAGTCAGCGCTGCTTATCTTACCCGACAAAGTCTACGACTATCTTGGTCCCAATTTACGGTTCTCACATGTTAGACGGCGACAAATGAAAATTTGACACATTCGCTGGGCAAGAACTTTTCACAAGAGTGTTACTAATCTTTCAGAGCTTGAATCTCTGGCTAAAGCGGTACGTTTGCGGTTTTTAAAGCACCCATTTACAACGCTAACAAATTCAGAATGAAATTATATTTCACATCGGCTGCGAAATTCAAGATTTACTATTAATCTGAAGAAGAGAGCCTGGCCCTGCGATAAGAGCACGCACGTAAAACAAATGTTTTCCTTTCGCCAAAGCTCTATAAAAGGTTCTTATCGAAAATCGGCTATGTATTACGCTGGCCAAAGATTTAGACTTTCGAATGGATTATTAATACGCTCATGTAAACTTTGGCCAGCTAATGAGGTCGCATATTCATTCGTCGCTGTCTAACATATGGCCTGAAAGCGAGATCGAATCATCAACGCTGTGAGGAGCGCAGAGCACCCCTAACCAGTGCTCTACATGCGCTTCTCGTGAGAGGCATTAGGAAAGTTATTTGAAAACGTCCAAACGTTTTATGCCGTGTGTACGTAAAGCTGAACTTTCTCAAATTTTTAATCATTATCACGATGCTCTTTTATGAGGACACAAAGTGGTCTATCCGTTTCGCCTGCATGTCCATCCCCTCATTCTTTACATGACATTAACTATACCATATTGTGCGCAAACTCATACAAATACCTTCTCTGTTGTTAAAGCAGAATAGACAACTTTTTCGATTATACAAACGATCTCGGAAGCATTTCCGGACTAGTTAACGTCGCAGAGTGTTAGATAGGAGTTTACTAACTGCCACAGAACCTTTGAAAGCATAATTTTTGAAACGTTTCTTATCAGTGCTACCAACTTTTTTCGATATAAAGGACAGCTTAGAAAAGATCTTGTCAAAGAGAAATCAACGCTTCGAAGTCTGATTCCATCCTTCCAACAACCCGAGAGCTGATGATTCGCAACCACTAGAATTAATAACTTTTCGTGGCAAGTTTAGCGATTTCTTCCTCTTCTCTTCTAATGTGCACACATTTCGATCTTCGGTACACGTTTTCGATGAGTGCTTTCTTAGCGTATGAAGGTCGACAGGAAAAGTGTTGAACTAACACGTGCTTGTTTGAGCAGATCGGCTGTTGTTGTTGATGTTGAGTTAGTATAGAAGCATTACTAATCGTAGGTCGACGTTTCGGCGACACCGCCTTCTTCAGAGCCTGGTTATTTGAATCGGTAATGAGATCGATGCCTAGGCACCGACTCTTGAATCAATTTAGATGACTACGCGGATGTAAGGTGCCAAGTCTCATGATGTAGTGGCACATTCCTCCTCGGGATTTATTTTTGGGTTTATTATGCCTACCTAAAGCGCTTCAAGAGTTTCGCGCCCTAATGATTTTAGCTCTAGCGCTTTGATGATGATAATTATTTTGAAACCACTGCGGATATGTTTTTATGCCCTATGTCTAGCAAGTCCACAACGAAACTAGTTACCATTCTAAACACTTGAAACTCTTAGAAAGAGGCGATAAGACGAAATGATACCAGAAACTAAGTATCAAAAAATACTACTATAATACTCTTTTCTCATCTAAAACACTTCAAAAAAGCATTTATCAAAAACTTGTGCTATACGGCCAGAAGTGAGAGCACAGGAGACGATGAGAGGAAAGAATCCTTAAATTTGGCACCAAAATAGCCATTTAACGTCTACCGCTACGGTACACCTGCCACTGGTGTCAGTTCAATTGATATGAGTCACGCCTCGAAACAAAACAACAGCAAGATTGCTCTTAAGCTGCCTTTGATATGGAACGAAGTTAAACGCGCTGTAGAGAAGCGCCTAAAGCGGTCTCCAACAGTCTGCCGTCGTCTTTACGACCGACTATACCACTCAGAAGACTGTATAATCTGCCCTCACGGAAGGGAGAGAAACTGCTTGAGTTCTGATACAATGCATCTAATAAAGTGTAATGCATGCAGAGATTTGTATGTTGGCGAAACGAGTGGACCATTTCATTTGCGCATAAAAGAACATCCGGACAGAAAATCAGTGACTGATCAAAGTAATTCTCTAGGTAACTATCAGCCCCGTGCCTTCTCAAACAGCTATCTTTGATACTTACATAATTCACTCTGATGTCGAGGTTAATAGAAGGTCCATGTTTTAAATACATCATACCTTTTGTTTCGAGTGTTTTCTCAAGACTACGCTCAAATTTCAATAACTCAGATAATCATTTTCTTAGCCACGCATGTGGTCCGTTGTAGAGCAACGTATAGAGCCCGATACACGAGCTTCAAGCTTGACAGTTTCATGAAGTCGGGCGGTACCCTTTGTCTTTTGCCAATCCTCTCGGGTGCTCCAGTTCCCTATACTAAGAGTAGGAGACGACGAACATTTCACACCCCATTAAGTGAAATTATAGTTGAGTGGTAGAATTGTACACTCGACTGCTCTTGGCTGATACCGTTAATGAATCATGCCTTTCGTTTCGAATGACGGAAAAAAGACGAAGGATTTCACCTTCACCCAACTGATGAGGCTGTCAAGGTCGAAATACGTGTATAGGGCTCTATTAGCATACCCTATAACAGACTACAAGTGTGACTCAAAAAACATCGTTTGGTTTTTGAATACAACCAACGTTCAGACTGTGAAGAAGGCGCAAAAGGCAATAGGAGCTCCGACCCGATAAGCAACATAATAAATGCGTCCGACGGCACCGACAAAGCGACAATCAAAAGGAAGACACTGACAAAAACGGCTCGGCTTGGTGAGAACTATCCAAATCAATGAGTTTTGGAGCTGTAGAACTAAGCATCAGATGTTGTAAGCAAAAACAATGATATTGTATGATTTTTGTACCGTTCAATTGAGCATTTTCATGTAATCATTTTGGCCTAAAACCTGCCTACACTCGTTTAGGAAAGTGTTTTAGGAACAAATTTGGCTATTACTCCTGCACTAATGGCTCATAGAGGGAAATGTTAGTGAAGAGGCGATCAAGATTAATAGGGCTTCCTGTGGACGGCTCGAGCGCGACTGATCCTCTATGCTGTTCTTTTCAGCTTTAACTTCGCGAGCCGCTTCCTCATCGTTCTCTCTGCAACCGTAACATCGTCCCAAGCTCCACTGAGCTCATGCGTCACTTGATTATCATTTTTCCACGCGATATTCGTGCATGAGTAGCAACCAAATTTGTTTCCAAAACAGCTGTTCTTCATACAAATATAGGCATGTTGTATACCAAAATGTTGGCAAGATTCATTCGAAGTTGTCACTGTGTCTCAATCATGCAAATTTAATAAC